TGGGGCCGGCAGAGACTCTCTACACTCAGAAATACAGGGCCTAACCCTTGCAGATACAAAATTGCTACTAACTGCAATAGGAACTTTTCCGGTATTAAGACACAAGACTGGAGGTTCACTAGAAAACTCAGTAAACACATTGAGGGTGGCCCTCCCATAAAGACACACAGATGTACAAAGGTTCTTTCCACTCCTTTCCTAAGCACATCTTTACAGTTTATCTGTGAAGTTTTGTTATAACCAAGCCTGGTGTTTGAAATGCCTAATATCTACCATAAGTATAATACAGCATTTATACTTAGACACAGAACCTCCACAAATCCTGCCCTAAAGTATACACATGCCAGCTACCCACTTTGAACTATCTTTCTATGATTAACAGACTATCACAGCACATTTTAAAATCCATTTACCATTAAAAAGGGCTGTGCTGAAGACACTGTTAATTTGACAGTTTTAAATATAAATTTCAGTTCTGGTACTAGATGTAGTCAAACTTACCAAAAATATAATCAGCTTAATATCTTCTTTACTTTTATCATAACATGACATAGTCATTTTCATTTTGTGAGTTATAGTAATTTGGAATTTGAACAATATTTTATTTTACCAAAAGCCAACAGAATTATCCTAAAGAAAAACAGAAATATTATTCTTTATTTTTATAAAGTTATTAAAGTATTGTATATTCTGCTTAAAAAGATGTCAGTCTGGCCCACTAAATATAAAAGCAAAGAATAAAGGAACATTCTTCCCCAGAAATAAAGTGCAACAAACTCAACACAAAAAAAACTGGAACAGTAATGAAGCTGAAAATTATCTGAGCACTCACTGTGCTGTTTTTTCAGTTTCATATTAAAAGGGAGTGAAGACAATGCTGGACAATATTTGATTTCTCCGAGAACTGATGACTACTCCCTTCAAATTATCAGATCCGAAAGGAGAAATACAGCCCATTCTTGAAGATCAGCTGCCATCTAGTGAAGGGTAAGAAAACCGATTAAAACTTTTTTTTGACAGTTTAAACTAGATTCTGTGTGGAATACTTTTTGCCATTTTGCCACTGTTAATTTTGGTGTCTGTAAATGATTCGGTAGCACGTCTATTAAAAGGTATGCATTCCAAAGACCAGCAATGTCACTCAGCAATGTTTTCTATTAAAATACATAAATAAAGTCTTGATCCTACAGGTAACTCCAAAAAAGTAAAACCTATGCACTTTCAAGTAGTCATATCAGTGGTTTTTTGGCCTCCACTTCATTATGCTAAAAATAAATGAACAATCAGTGTCTTAAAAGTATTCAGTATTACAACAATTTACTATAGTTGAAAACTGAAGAATTTTAAGTTAAAATTCACTAAGATGTGCACATCAAGCAATAAAATAATAGTTTTTATATTGGACACCAAGTGTGTTATTGTTATGCATATGTTTTACACTTGCTTACTAGCAAATTAATTTATGGATAATTAGAATAAAACCTGAATTATTAGCAGTGCACATCAACATGGTAAAATCAATTATTCTTATGTAAGACTGCTGCGTTTCATGAATTAGTACTCCATTCCCATTTCACATTTTTGTGATAGAAGAACTCCATTCATATTTCTGCAATTATTACTAGTAGAAACGTGCCAAGCAGGCTGGTCGCTTTGTCGTGTTTTTCCTCTAAACCATAACCTGCATTTCCACAATCAGTGTGATAACACTAGCTGGAAATGTCACCAAAAGAGGCCACAGCTCCCTCACCTCTTCCACCTGCCCATTTCAAGCCATTCTTTGCACTGACACAAGCATTTGCATGGCAGAGCAATATACAAAACCAAGATTTAGTGTCATTTAACTAACTCACAAAACCAAACAAAAGTACTACACTAAACATGCTCATCATCTTTTCCATGCTGATGATTTTAGTATTAAAAGAAAGGACAGGAATCATATCATGAATCTGATAAAGCATGGAACTCATCTCCTATTGTCTAAACTGATCATGGAATTATGATAAACGGAAGGCAGGGAGGAAAAGGGACTGTTCATGTGCTACTTATCCACTTGTATTAATGTTCAGGAGTAGAGCAGCTTGCACTATCAATAATTTAAAAAATACTGAAGTTGGAAATTAGGTTTATCAACTGTCCTTCTCCATGCTGAAAACAATAAAACTAAACTTCAAATATGAACATTTTAGGTGTTTATTTTCTTCTGAAACATTTGGTCATAAGAGCAAATGTTATTAACAGATAATAACAGATTTCTGCTATAGACATGAGAAGAAAGAGTTAAAAAAAATTGCAAACAGAGTTCTACTCTTGAGTTTGCAAGCTCCTAAGGGTCTTAACTTGTTCAGTTGTTTTTTTAACTAAAAATTGATGTTATTAAAAACTCAGGGAGAAAACAGTAACTCTGCCAAAATTCTTAAAATAGCATCATGAAAAACACAAAGAAAGAAAAAAAAATCTTGTACTATGCCATAGGAAATGCTGACAGAAAACATATACTGAACTAGATATTATTGTTTTACTGACTTGGGGGAAATTTTCTTTTCTTACCACTTAAAAATTACACATGCTTTTTTTCTGTATCAAAGTAAATTATAAATAAATAAATAAATAAATAAAACAGATGGATTACTGCAAAGCACCTCTTCCATGCACAAGTCATTAAAAAA